AGTTTTCTTCTGAAACACATAAAAATGAATGTAAAGCAGTATATATTTATGTATTTTATGATAAATTTGTGTGATTTAGAATAAATTTGAATAATTGTATTTTAATATTTATATAAACTATATGAGATTTTTCAGAATGGATATTTGTATTATTATTACTATTTCTTTTTTATTTAGAAAGACCTGAAGGGTAGCTAAATCAAGAGATACTCCACTACAATAGAACTTCATGGGGTAGAAGGGGTAGGATGCCTAAAGAGAAATGAAACACCACAAACAGCAAGACTTAAAAGAGCTTAGAATTTACACATCAAACCACTAACCCAAAAATGTCATATGGTTATGAATAACTGGGAAAGAATGACAGCTGTGTGATCCGCCTGGAATAAAATGTCAATGAATAGGGCTTCTTATTTGAGAAAAAAAAACAACCTTGAGTTTATTGAATGTTTAATAGACAGTGTCTCAAAAGTCAGACTCCAAAAAGTGACTAAAGAAGAATAAAATGGCAGTTATCATCAACTTGTCTTCATGTCTGTTTCATGAATCTAAAGTCCCAAATTAAATTTTATTGAATAATCACATCCTATGATCAGAAGTGACACCAATAATATCATTATTATTGCTAAAAACAGTAAGTTCAACTATTGAAAAGATTGATTTATTCAATAAATATTTACTGAGTGTGAACTACATACAAGACTGTTCTGTTCTAAGGATGTATAACAATGGACAGTCTCTGATCTGAAAATATCAATAAGAAAAAAATTAATGTAAGTGTCATTAAGAAGAATGAGGTCAGAGGCTGGAGAAATGGCTCAATGGTTAGGAACACTGGCTGCTTTTACAGGGCCCAGATTTAATTCCTAGCACCCACATGGAGGCTAACAACCATCCATAAGTTTAGTTCCAGGGTATCCGATGCTCTCTTATGACCTCCTCAACACAGGTGTACCTACCTTCATACATGAATTATATTCATACATTTAAAGTAAGTAAAATATATTTTAAAGAAAGAAGAATGAGGTCAAATGGGAAAGGCAAAGGGCATCTCTGAAGAGGTGGTTTGAGCACAGGTATGAAGGAATGGAAAGATGAGGATTATCAGTAAAGGGAACCTGTGAGCAAAACATCCAAAGCTGACTGCACAGGCCCTGAGACGAGAGGCTGCTTGACATGTACAAGTGCAAATCCATCTCTCATCAGGCTGCTGCTGCAATGGGACGGGCTGAATGGATACAAGGAAGAGGGGAAGAGAGGAGCTGGGAAGACAGCTCAGTCAGCAAAGTGCCTGCCACAAAAGAATGTGAACTGAGTTCAATCTCCAGAATGCATGTAAAAAAGTTGGGTATGCTAGCACTTGTAATGTCATCACTGGGAAGAGAAGAAAGGCAGGTCTTTGGGGCTTGCTGGCTAGCCATCCCAGCCTCTGGGCTCAGTGAACATATTAACATTTCCACTATTAATAATGAAAATATTAATAAGAGTAAACTTGAACACATTTAATTCTCATTTCTTACTTCTTTATCTCTTGAAATATACAGTCTATGATAATGTGTATTCAATATGTAAATTGTTCCTCTCAGTGTCTAGAATGTTACTGCAAAGATTAAAGCTGACTAAACATTTTAAAGAAGCAAGTAGCATAAAATGGATATGAATGTTAGATATAAGAACCATCAACTCAATGCCTGTCTTCATCCAGCTTCTGACACAGTTACTTATTGTCAAGTGTTACTGAAATAATAAGAATAAAACCATTTGCTGGGTAGAGAGGCTAACAGACGATAGGTTAACACTAAGAAATTCCACATTACAAGATATAAAATGATGAATCGGTATAGTCTCTATGTATAAGTGAAATATATTGATTTCTAGCCCATGGCTTGTACAGATGTTGCCTTCCACTCTTGGTTTATACATGTGTCTATTCAGATACCTGAATTCATTCTTTCAATGCTGTTGATTTTGCTGTGGGACATAGAGTACAACAGATTATTTCATGTGGGTAGGATCAAAGTAAATTGCTATGTTCAACAGAACTTTAGTGATTTATGATCTTTAACACTCTAAAAGTATATAAATTTTAGAATAAATGTAAAAGATTTGTCATTGGTACCATAAATAACACATTGTATTTTCTGTTAGAACCTATTCCTGTAGCAACAACGACTTCCAAATCTGTAAAGGTGATTAGATCACTAGAGAAACATGGTTTCTTAAAACTTGGAATACAAACTTTTACTTTCTTA